GCTTTCTATCAGTGGGAAACGAGTAAAGACCCAGCGGAACAGCAGGGAAAAGGCGTAGCGCTGAAATCGGTCACCGCTTTCTTCACCTGGTTACGTGAGGCGGAGGAGGAGTCTGAGGATAATTGACACAAGCAGGTGGCCGACGCCCAGACACCCCCTACTGACACGAACACAAAAATGCATCCAAACTAAAGGAACTTTGACTTTGAAACGCTGGCTAACTTGAGCTGGACCTCTCTACGAAGCGGAGGGAACACTAAATACTTGTATCATATATATAGAAAATATTTTTGTTTTAAAATTTGACTTTTTTTTTCTTTTGTTACTTTTAAAAGAAGAGACTTGAGATAGGTTCTGAACTCTTTAATTTATTATTTTTTTAAGAGACTGCAAGTATGGAGTTCTATTTAACATTTGCAGGCAAAAAGAACATTGATAGAAATAACAGAATAGACATGTATCATAACAATAATATTAATTTTGTTTAAATGTGTCAGCAGCCTCCCTGGATTCATGTGATGCACTTCAAAACAAATCAAATATTTCCTCAGAAATGAAAAAGAAAAATGCATAACATTTTTGGCTCAAGGTGGGGGCTGCTCCAGGATTGGCTAATGTTGCTGAAGGTTAAGGCTGTTTTGAGAAACACCCGCCACTGGTTCTTCTGCTTTGGCTTTTGCTCAACGGACTTTCCGAATAACATGGGAAACACGGTAAAAATGAATATGCATCCTGAATGGAATAAAAATTCAGACATCGTCATCAAATACCTGTATGCATTAAAGGTGAAGTGCAAACACTAATGCAAGTCGGAAAATGACCAGGTTTGCTCAGTGTACTTGTGATGAAGAACTACAGAGGAAATGTAAAGCTTGTAAATACATTAAAGAGAAAAATCAGATTTAAAAATGACACTAATGGTGTGCTGTTTGTCTTTGGAGGGAAATTGACAGGATTTTGCTAATACGCCAGCATCTTGAACAGATTATTTGCTGTTGTTTTTTTAATTGAATTGATTTGACACCAAATTGTTTTAAAAGATACTCTGTTAATATTTGGGCAAACATTGAATAATTCTTATTAATAATAAATATAATATGAAAAGTATGTCAAGAAACATATTAGTTCATTTAGATCTTGAGTG